AAATTCTTAATAAAATCAAATTTTGGTCTTTTGAAAAAAAATTTACTATAGAAATGTTCATTAATAAATTGTCTATCCATTGGTGTAAATCGCAAAATAAAATAATACTTACTTTACGAGGAGATGCATGTTATCAATAATAATTTCACATTTATGTGGTTTCGTTGTAAGGAGATTATATTAATATTTATTCCTTTAAAAAAAAATTGGATATAGCTTTTATGGAATCAAGATTATGTAGAAACATAATGTGTTTTTTATTTGTTGATATATCTTTTAAATAAAAAGTAGATAGCTCCTAAAAACAGCACAAATAACGACTAGCGCGACATTTTGCTCAATCTGCGCCTTAACATCAATAGTTTTAAAATATTTAATGATATACATTTTGGCAATACTCTATGGAATTTAAAAATATTTGAACAAGGCTTTACGTTTTGTTTAAGCAATGATTCGGCGACAGTAGGAGAAGAATTTAATGATTTTGTTGTCAAAAAAGGAACATCAGTAAAATGTTTCTCAAAAGTCATAGCAACTTCTTGATCAGATCGAGTTAAATGATTGTTAATATTCAATTGAAAATCTGAGTTGCACGGTTTGACCTTGCCCGTTTCACTATTTATTATTCTCACAAGTCATTTAAATTTTCTTGGATGCAGTTTTAATTTTGTTGCTTAAATGTAAAGTCTTAGCTGTCGAACACACTTTTTTAAATATTTTAGAATATGTTTTACATGATCTCTAAATATAACACTACTATTATATGATCTTTCATTATAAAGCTCTTATAACCTTCGATTACTTTTATAAATTCCTACTGTCGCCCATTCATTAAATGATTTGCGACTGTTAAAAGATAAATTTTTAGAAGTAAATATTCTACTAAATTCACAATTTATATTTTAAATGACGTACCATACAAATAATCAGCACTATTTTTAAATGAAAGTGATGGAAGTCTTTTTATTATATTACTTCTAAACCTTTCCTTTTCGCATCTTATGCTTGCTAGATACGATTTCATGCGACAAGATGTTGGAATCTTAATTTTTAGGCCCTAGCGGAACATACTTGCGGGCATGCAATAATAAGATAGTACATTTGCTACCAGTCTTAAATTATATTTGGTTTGGTAATAATACAGAATACCAGCGTAAAACAGCAGCTTGATGCTGCTGTGTTTCGTATGGTGAGTGTAGAGAACCGGAGACTCATTTTACTGGAAAAAGGCATTCTATCTTAGTCCTCACGGCTGACAACGCATCTGCATTTTGATTCTTAACTGAGGACAGATGTTGATGTCTATGGGCCACAGCAACCACTTACCATCAGATGGACTGTGCTCGTTTGTCACCCTAATTCTATAAATCTTTCGTCCAAAACTTTTTTATTAAATTATTTATATCATTTAAATGAAATTTGTCATTATTATCATTACTATTATGAATATTATGTCTTTAAATTATTATTACATATTAAATTATTCATTTAAATTGTCTTAGATTATTATTTTCCTGTGTAAACCGTTTGTTGTTTACACTGCCTCTTCTACCAACAAAAAATATTATTGTACTTTTTGGGCGAAATTTAGTAACTATAATTTTATTTAGGATGTCACTAAAAGATGCTCCAGGCATGCAGCAATTTGTAATTATTTGTCTCTTTAAAGATTTATTTAAGGGTTTTCGTGGATATACTCGGATAAAGTCGGATAGCCATCGTAGACCTACTGTACAAACACTTCAGCACTTCGATATACCGACAGTCGACTTGGCACAGCTGAAGGGACTGCAGCACCGCCCAAATTTCCACGGAATCAAAAGCTTTCTTATAGTCCACATACACAAGACAAAGTGCCAGATTGTACTCTTCGGTCTTCTGTACAATTTTCCGAAGGGTATGTATGTGGTCTATGGTGCTAAAGCCCTTTCGGAAACCGAGAGGCTGGAAGTCGTTGAGTCTGCGTGCGAGACGATTCGTAATGACTCAAAAACAGCACGTAGACGCGGCTCAGAAGGTAAATCGGTCTGTATTTATTAAAGATAGCATTGTCGCCTTTCTTGAAGAACAAGACCAGCGCACTTCTGCTCCACGCCACCTGAGTAGTGCCACTATGATGACTAGAGTAGAATAGAATATTTTTTATTCAATATACATTACATGTGTAATTCTTATTGAAAGTCATTTTTTACTTTACCACTGGTTCGAAAAAAACCCTCTGTCCTGGGAAGAACCAGCAAGAAACCCAGCGGGACTTTTTTTTAAATAAATTTTACAATACAAATGATTACGAACTATTTACAAAATTTATTTTAGAAACTGCTTGGAAGCGACCACCTCATTCCCAGGGGTTATTATCAACCATGTATTCATTTATACTGTAATAACCCTTTTTATACAGTTTCAGCTTAATAAAACATTTAAACTTGGTAATAGAGAGAACCTGTACACTTTCCGGGACCTTGTTGTAATAGCGTATACATTGCCCCAAGAATGAATTACTGACTCTGTGGAGTCGAGAAACTGGCATCACTAGCTTGTGTTTGTTCCTAGTGTTTACAGAATGTATATCACTTTTTTACTAAAACTATCTTTGTTTTTGTGAACATACATTAAATTTACGTCAATATACTGAGAGGCCAAAGTTAATATATTAATTTCTTTAAATTTATCTCTAAGAGACTCTCTCGGTTTTAGATTGTAAATTGCTCTAAAGGCCCTCTTCTGTAAAACAAAAATAGTTTCTGAATCAGTCGCATTTCCCCATAGAAAAATCCCATAAGACATTATGCTATGGAAATAACTAAAATAAACTAATCTAGCTGTCTCGACACTAGTGAGACCTCTAATCTTTTTTACAGCATAGGCTGCAGAACTTAGTCTGCTTGCTAATTTGGATATATGGGGGCCCCACTGGAGCTTTGCGTCAAGAGTGATGCCAAGAAAAACAGTGGATACAACAGGGCTCAATTCCTCCCCATTTAAAAATACATTGGTATTCAGATTTTTAACATTCGTTGTTGTAAATTTAACACAATTAGTTTTATTTCCGTTCAAATGCAGATTATTAACGTTAAACCAATGCACTAATTTTGATATAGCATTATTCACTTCGTCACATTTAAATGATTGACGTTTAAGTTTAAAAATCAAGGAAGTATCATCAGCAAATAATACTATATCATGACTATCCCCTACAAGGTGAGGGAAGTCATTAATATACACCAGAAACAGGAATGGGCCGAGAATCGAGCCCTGAAAAACACCCATTAGTACAGGTGACCCGGAAGAACTTTTACCATTGATAATAACCTTCTGTTTTCTATTACTTAAATATGAAATAATAAGTTTAAGCGCTGTGTTCTAGACACCATAGTACTGTAGCTTCCTGATTAATGTCTCATGGTGAACACAGTCGAAGGCCTTGGAAAGGTCACAAAATATACCCAAAGCATCCTCTGAATTCTCCCATGCACAAAAAATATGTTTAATAAGCTCAACTCCAGCGTCAGTTGTCGAGCGACCCCTTGTAAAACCGAATTGATTTTTATGTAGCAATTTATTAATATTAAAGAAACTTAACATCTGATCTAAAATAATTTTTTCAAAAATTTTACTTAATGTTGGTAGTACAGAAATTGGTCTAAAATTGGCGGGGTCTAATGTACTACCAGATTTAAATATAGGTATGACTTTACTATGTTTCATTAAATCAGGAAACACACCAGATTCGACGCCTATATTAAATATAGTGGCTAGATAAGGTGCTAATATATCTATTATAGATAAAATAACTTTAATGAAAATCCCCCATAAGTCGGCCGTTTTCTTAACATCAATAGTTTTAAAATATTTAACGATATCTTTTGGCAGTACTCTATGGAATTTAAAAGTATTTGAACAAGCCTTTACATTTTCTGCCGACTTCCAAAAAGGAGCCGGTACTCAATTCGTTTTTTTTTTTTTTTTTTATGTGTGTTACCTCAGAACTTTTTTCTGGGTGAACCGATTTCGATGATTCTTTTTTTATTTGAAAGCTGGTACTTCTCGTGTGGTCCCATATGAATTTGATCAAGGTCAGACCAATAGTTTTTAAGTTATTCTTAAATAACTTATATTGAAGTCGGCTGTACAAAATTTTTAATTTTAAATTATGTTTGAGCAATGATTCGGCGACAGTAGGAGAAGAATTTAATAATTTTGTTGTCAAAAAAGGAACATCAGTAAAATGTTTCTCAAAAGCCATAGCAACTTCTTGATAGCTTCTGAAGGACTTCAAGTACCGGTTTACCACCCGCGTTTAGAACCTCCGCTATAATTTCATGCTCGTCCGGGGACTTGTCATTTTAGTGCTGGAGAGCCATTCTAATCTCGCTCAAAGTGATGACCACTACCAAGTGATCTTCGTATGGTGAGTGTTTATACACTCACCATACGGTAAAAGGGTCTCTGGTACTTACGTACGTATTTTTTTTTTATTGGAACGAGGCATTCCATCTTAATCCTCAGAGGTGACAATGCATGTGCATTTTTATTCTTCATCGAGTATAGATGTAAATGCACATGTCTATGAGCCTCAGCATCCACTTACTATCAGGTGAACTGTGTGCTCGTTCGGCACTCTTATTTCATAAAAAAATAAGAAATCGTTATTAATTTGTCACTACTATCATCAATCTTGTCAATGACAGATATCGTGGATGATAAATGCGAAACATTTTTTTTTAATTTCGCCCATAAAACGTATAAGTCAATAATTATAACCGATGGTCATTCTGTTCAGAAAATTGTTTCAAACCTGTCCTGAATAGTACAAGTGGTAGTCAGAGTTCCATACAAGTGAAACATCTTCTATGGCTAAATTATATTATCCATATTATTTTCTTATTATCATGGCTAATTATGTTACACTCGATTACACTTTACATCATAACTTTGAAATTATTAATTAACTATTTTTTATTTCTTTGCAATTCGTTTAAAATAAAACACACAATGTTAAATTAATTTTCTATTTAATTTGTAAAAAATGCTTAACATTAAATCCTATATTGAGTGTTTTGCTTACACTAAAATATAATATATAGGTACAAAATGTACATACAACATCACCTCTGCTATGTGGAATAATATTAATTTTACGGATTTTATCGCGTTTAATTTATAATTTTTTAATTGTCAACACAACGCTAAAATTAAACGCGATTAAATACGTAAAATTATTTTCATTCCACGTATTCCACGTATTCACGAAGGTAAATAATAGTAAAAAATCATTATTACCTATGTAAAGTTTTTTGGTAGAAATGGTACATATAGGTACATAGGGGTGAGGGGCAAACGGGTCGCATTCACGTGTATGACCAAAGAGAACCAGTGTTGGTACAGTAAGTACAATCTATTATTTATTCTGTGGTAAAATTAAGCACCATGCACGCGCACGTTGAGCTAGCAGTGTTAAGTGATAAAAGACAAGACGTGTATACTGCTAGAGCGGCAATTGAGTACAAAAACTGTCACAGCTGTGGATCGAGCGCCGGCATAGTAAATATGCCACGCTGTTGTATTTTCATCTACGACAGTCACTGTTTTTATTTGTTTTTAGGCAAATACGTAATAAAGTTACACACTCATCTGAAATAAATTTTAGATCACGTTGATAAAGTGTGCACATAAATGATAACAGTCTTTTCGTAGTCTTAATTCGTGTTAGATTGTCGAAAACACGCGTACGTTGTTTACAAAAAATAAAGAATTATTCATCTCGGCCGCTCGCAGTCGACTAAAGAAGTTACTGAGAATTGAGCGTAACATAGTGTTCATTGTATTAGTGTGTATAAGTAAGTGTTAGAAGTTGTCCAGTGGGCACAAGGGTGCAGTGAAGGTGCGGTGAGGCGAGTGCGTGCGCGGTCAGGGGTCGTGCTTGTCGCTGAGCGGCAGCGCCTCGCCGCGCGGCGGCGCGCGCGGCCGCAGCAGCAGGCGGTGCAGCAGCGCGCCCAGCGCCGCGCCGCCCAGCGGCCCCACCCAGTACACCTGCCACAAGTCAATGTCTCTTTAGCCATTTGCCCGAAACCAATTTATGTTTCGCCAGACGTTTCAGTCACTAATTTTTATTTTTATTTTGTAGTTGTTCGCCACAACCTTTGGCCGAAACCCAAGCCGAAGCCAATAACTTAAAACTCTAAGATATTCAGTTCAAGATTGACTAAAACTGACTGAAAAAAATAATATAAATCATTATGAAACAGTCCGACACTACATATTTACTACAAAGTAAGCGTCTGTGATATAAATCATTGCTCTGTATAATAAGCCAAATCAAAAGTTTTTGTTTCCTGGTTCGCTTCTTTAAACTTTTTTGTATCTCTTAATGTTTGTTTAATTTGTACACTAGTTATTAAATTTTGTGTTGTAATACTAAAAGGGTACCCACAATACAGGATTACCTAGTGTGGGTTGCAACGGATATTTCAATGGTTTGTAGTTGTTTCCAGTCAAATAAACATTGTATAACAATGATATACCGAATTGAAAATGTTTAATTTAATTTGTTATATCCTTACACCGCACACAATCAAATGATTTCCTAACCTATCCATGCATATATTTTTATGACACTAAGCTAAACAAAACATTAAAGGTGCGAGACGTCTGGTCCTGCGGTCGTTGATCCGCATGCTACTGACGCGTAACGATTACGAATCCTCTGACAACTGAAGCGACCCGTGTTCAGCAGGGAATTTTGATAGGCTGATAAAGAATTTTAACGAAACGAGCGCTCAGTTAGTATATGTTACTACTACCCTAGACTAGTTACTTACTAGCCTGTCCTGGGTCACAGGCTAAAATCCCAACCGCAATCAACATTTGTGGGAAAACATGTTATTTATAAGGTCCGGTCGTGTTGAAGTCGCTTCAGTTTGTTTGCGGTGCCGTCGCGCCGTAACTTGCCTAGTCGTAGAAGTAGTAGTACTATTGTTTATTGTGCGGCCTCCGAACGTAGATTGTCGTACGTTGTCATCTTGGATTCGCGCAATCATTTTTAAAACATTGTCCTTTTTTGTCGCCAATTATTGTTTATCATCGTGGTTTACCACCCTATGGTTGCCGTAGGAATAGATTAGAATAGATTGATTTTTATTCAATATAGATTATTACATAATACTCGTTGAAGTTCATTTTTTATTTACTACTGGTTCGGAAAATACCTGTGTTCTGGGAAGAACCAGCATGAAACCCAGCGGAACTTTTTTTAAACATATTTTACTTTACAATAATTATGTTTGTACAATTTTTAAATGAATTTTAATTTCAAATGAAATTTAAGGAATTACAACATCACCACATTTATTTTAAATGAAAAATTAAGATAAAGATGGAAATTGATTTCCATTAGTTGAATATCCCGTTCTTATCATTTACAATTACCCTGACTAACACCCTGACTGCTGCTGGCCTGCCCCATTTCGGAGACAACAGTGTAAAGCGATACTTCAGTGTCATGTAAATTGTGATTTATTGCACTTTTTTACTGTAATTTTATATCAAACTAATTGTACAACTGATTATCTTTAATTAATAAATAATAACGAAGAAATAAGTGGAAAAGTAGAATATCGTGGAAGGATGTTTTTAATAAGTCGCGTGTTGTATTGCAGAGAACTTATTACTTCTTAACTAATTTCTGTTTTAGTAATTATGAAAATTAACCTGAATTCTCAATAAAACCTAGAACAATGCTTTTGTCTGTCTAATCTATACTTTGGTATTACTAAATTCATGAAAGTGAACTGTGTGTTTAGGGATGACACTGATCATAAAATTAGCGCGGTGATAATCGCTAGGTAAGACATTATCATAAGTTCCCAAATTTTATAATCCAGTAACTATTATGTCATTCGTTCTCATTCATTAATTAGCCCTTTACAAGCTCGTAGCTGAACATAGGCCTTGTGGGGGATAATTGAGTGGTTATTAGGATGATGCTGTCCATCTCCTGTTCCAGCTATCCTCCGTCGCCTCTTAGGATACCCACGGGATGATATTGGGTAGTGGATTCTCCTCGTAGCCAATATACGGCAGCTTTATTATGTCTATATATAAATTTATTTTATTTGTAAAGAAAGAGCTGTGTGTAAAGAAACCAACCGTTAATAAGAATAAACTTTCGTTCGTGAGCAACTCTGATTTTATTACCAACACCGGTATCAATGTAATAACAGTTACAAAATATTTGTTTTCGCTTATCGTATGATACTAGACGGTGCACGATAATAGCTACTCGTAAGATATAAATATATTTTGGGAGCGAGACTTCGCCTACCGCCTACGCGCGCTGTCCTATTCAAAACAAAACGAGACACGTGCCCTCCAATGGAACAATAATTATATAATTTTTTTTATAGGAGAGGGGGCAAACGAGCATGCGGCTCACCTGATGGTAAGTGACTACCGCCGCCCATGAACAACCGCAACACCAGGGGAATTGCAGATGCGTTGCCGGCCTTTTAAAAATTAGTGGAAAATCGTTGGTGGTAAACTATTCCACAAGGAAGTTGTGCGAGGAAGAAAACATCTTCTAAATCGCACAGTGGTGGACCGCCAATCATCCAGATAGTGTGGATGGTATCGGGAGTTATGTGCATTATATTATAAATCAGTAAGCTGAAATGTATGAAGAACCGACAATTGATGTGAAAGGAAGGTTCTCGAGTGGAACCTTGTACCGGTAAGCGAAGAGTAGGGTGCCCCCACTGGACTGAGTGACGACCTGGTGTCAAGAGATGCAGAGTGTAGATGGATGCAGGTGGCTCAAGATCGTGTTATGAGGCATTCTTTGGGGAAGGTCTATGTTACGTAGTGGGCTTGTAGTGTGCTGTGCTGTAATGATCATGGTGATGAATGATGATGATATCATAATATATTATAGAGGTATACCAGCCATGGTAGTGCGGGAGATAAGCGTTTGCCAGTACTCGAGCAAACCAAGATCCTCCTTGGCAGCACCAATAAAATTATCACAATTTTAGTGATCATTGACCACGTGCTTGGCGGCAAATAAACACATATAGTAGGAAATCTGTATGTCAGAGAAATTAAAACGCGGCCGAGTCTGCTCCAAAAACCCTCAGAAATTTAAGTAGGTGTGTGTGCTGTGCTCTGTGACGTATGTCCCTACGCTGTTTTTTTTTATTTAACATTTATATCTTACGATATCCAAAATCAACACTAAGTTTTATATTTAACGATACAATTAATATGCTTAATGTCTGAATCGTACTCACCCAGTGGTCCGACGTGATGCCCTGGTAGAGCGCCGGCGCGAAGCTGCGAGCAGGGTTGAGACTTGCGCCAGTAAACGGACCCTGCCGAACGAATGGCATACTATTTAAGCGTTTTACTTATGAATGTAGAGTTTTGGTGGCTCAAGGGTTCACCTTAGATTTTGGCACGTTCGCCTTGATTTTTAAGTACGCGAGCAATTAGAGTCTATCACCGTCTGCAACGCTGAAATTGTTAGTTATAACTATGTGCTGATTTAGCACGTGCTTGATGGCGTGGTAAAACATCGTGGTGAAACCTACATATCTGAAACAAAAATGTTTCGATGACATAATATTGTGCTGTAGAGCCAAAATTATTAAAATATTATGTAAATATTTTTATATATCTTTGGTCAGCACATATTACGTGGGGTAGCGCGATAGACTACCTTTTGGAGTTTCGGATCGTATATTAATATCGGATTAAGAAACTGACCTTTACTAAAACTATATTTTAATAGAATTATAAAATCACTTCGATTTTAGATATTACTATAATATAAAGTAGATTTATTAACTATATTTCACGTTTTGTATTGTTCACTGCTACCTATTCTTCCCACGCTGTACAACGCTGACGGGTCGGTGATTGCGGATTGCGAAGCCGGTACTATATGTGTTGTATATATTTATGGTGTATCGTATACAACCCGACGTTCAATGCGTCAATTTTCCATCATCGGTCGCTCGTCAAAGTTGCATTCGTTAATTAGATGAGTGCACTGAGTGCAAGGTGCATGTGAGGTAGGCGCTTGGAGTGAAGTGATATTTTTGCATCTGTGGCTCATCGTTCAACAGTATGTCACTTTTTGGTGCAAATGAAACGTGCGGTAACATTAGGATTTTTTTCCGTGGAGGCCGTTTACATGTATACATAAACTGAACAAGGACAAACATCCAAACCCGGAACAAAATTAAATGTAGGCCATATAAATACTTGATTCTTAATCGAGGATAGATGTAGATGTCTATGGGCCACAGCATCCACTTATCATCTGGTGGACTGTGTGGGCGTTTTTCAACCTTATTCTATAAAAGAGTTTCACAGTTTAGTAATAGTGCACGGACTGACCCCGGCGTATATGAGTCCGGCGATGGTGAAGCCGAACTTGAGGGAGACGGTGCGGTCAGGGCGCGCGGGGTCGTGCGCGTGCCACAGCGCGCAGGCCAGCAGCGCCAGCAGGCCGGTGAGCAGCGCCTCCAGCGCGGCCGCGGCGGGCGCCGGCACCGAGGCGGCGGGGTGGGTGGCGCCGACGTGCGCGGCCGACGGCACCATCGCCAGCAGCGCACCGAAGCCCAGGAGCGCACCCGCCAGCTGCGCCAGCACGTAGGCGGCGGCCACGCAGCCCGACAGTCTTCCCGCCGCCAGCGCCGCCAGTGTCACCGCGGGGTTCATGTGCGCGCCCGACACCGGCCCGAAGATCTCCACGTTGGCCAGCACGATGAAGCCGAACGCGAGCGCGGGGTGCGTGAGCGGGCGCGCTTCCTCGGCGGCCGGCAGGATGGCGGCCACGCCCAGCAGCACCAGCAGCGCCGTGGCCACCAGCTCGGCCAGCAGCGCGCGCCACCACCGGCAGACCCATGCGCCCGCGCCGCGTGCAGAATCTGCATGTCGAGGATTTGTGTATCGATTTTAATTTAACAAATTCTTCTTCTTCATTAAATAAAATGGGGGAAAGTATATTGCTACTTTGAAAAAAAAATTACGTGGACGTCTGGATGTTGATTTTGTATGTCACGATAACTCCCGAAAAAAAATGACGTGTCGAGACCAAATTTTTTTATTAGCTTCAGAATTAGATCTACTGGTTCCCTATTTCATTATGAAAATATTAATATCAATAGCCTAGTACGCGTGGTTCAACTTTTATACGTTTTATTGCTATTAAAAATTTAAAGGCGCTTTCATATTTTTTTAGCCCTTGATAAACAAAGGACAAATGTACCATACATCATATATCGATTTTATACTTTGTGTAATAGATTTATTTTGGTACACATTATTAATTTTTTCCCTGTAGGTGTTACTGCCTGTTAAAATAATAGAGCGTTAAACTTAAAACACGTAAATAATATATTTTAAAAGGCAGGAATACAATTTTTTTTTCATCATAATTAAATGAAACGCTCATGAGGCGTGCAATTTTGGAATCTCCAAACCATTTAATTTGTAATAATACCGTGTAAGAATATCTACTACCCCATATCATCCCATGAGTGTCATAAAAGGCGACTGAGGAAAACAAATCAGATGGGCAGCAGTGTCTTTCTCATCATCATCATCATCATCATCCTTACATTCCTTCACAAGTGCAGTGCTGAACATAGTCCTCCTCCGAGGAATGCCACAAAGCACAGCACAGTTGGCACATTCTATTTTCTTATAAGTCCCACATAAACATAGGATATAAGTCCCTAACCAAGATGCTTCACAAGAACATGAAGCTTCTTGTTAACTTATTCTTATCATATTACATTAATTTATTACCGAATAATCTAAAACCAAAGTAATCATCATCATTACATAGGCCTACCCCATAGAATACCACAAAGCACGGTGGTGAGCCATCTGCATTTGGATGCAGATGGCTCACGACCGTGCTTTGTGGTATTCTTCCAATGACTTCCTGCATGTCTTACCAGATCGTCATTCCATCTAGTGGGGGATCGCTCTACACTTCGCCTAACAGTACGAGGCTGATAACCTGAACCTGAGAACTTTTTTCCCACGTCTTTCTATTTTCTAATAGCGACTAAAAATAAAAAATAAGAACTCAACCCGCTTGCCAAGCGTGGCAACTATGGCAAATATTTAATAGGCTGTAACGGTACCGGCGTAAATATAAGAAATTATTATTTCTTATTCAACAACGCCGGACATAAAATAAATGGGTACTCTACACTCTATTGTGGGAATTTAGAGTGTGTCATAAGAGACACGTATGACTGACATGTACCTTCATGTATGGTCGTGAAAGATGGGTATAGCAGAGGAAGCGCGAGAGTAGAATAAATGTTGTATAAATGCGGTCATTAAAAACTATGTTGGGACTTAACCTGAATGACAGGCTGAGGAATTGAGTAATAAGAGAAAAGTGTGGTTTGAATGATATTGTTGTAACCAGAACTAATTAAGGAATGGTTCGGTGGCTTGGTCATGTAGAAATAATGAGGGAGGCAAGAGTGACGAAGCACATTTATGTTGCAGAAATGCATGGCAGAGCCGTCATGGGACGCCATACATTGAACGGAACTTTATCGACCAAATTGGCGATATATTAAAGATGGCCCAAACTTGGAGTGCACTTAATCGCCAAGCATGTTGTGTTGGTATGTGAACGTAAAGGAGGCGAGAGTAGTGTGTTAGGATCGTGCCAAATGTAAGTCCATACTTTCTGCCTACCCTTCTGGATGGCCGTCGTGAATGTTTATGTTTTATGTTCTTGTTCATCACTCCGTAAACGCCGCTGCTAACATAGACCTCCGCCACTGTAGAGAGTACTCAGTCACGCATGGCAAACGGATTGATGATCGCAGTACTGGATGTTTCGCATCTCTGACGCTGCGCTGTGGGTAACTTATTCGTGGTGTAAACGAGATGGTTACATCGCCATCTGTCGAAATCCATAACATCCTTCTGACAGAGTTGCTTGTTATGACACCCAAGGTAACTACGAAATGTGGTAATAGATTCTCATACGCCGCCACCACACGTAAAAATGATATCATTATTCTTACCCGACTGCGCAGCAACAAAAACAGGATCATGTTATTCACGCGCATCTGAGTATGCATATGGGTTTTTGTATACTCTCGAAACATCCCAACGATTGGATGGATTTTATTGAATGAGGTGTCTTTCGCTTCGTATAAAGTTTAAACCGTAAGATGGCTATAGGGTTTAGATATACGTTGATGGTTAGTTTTTTGTTTTTAAAAAACCCAAACGTCGGTTGTAAAATACAAAATAGATAATAAAATTATTATAAAATTATTGAAAACCAAATAATTTGTTTTTTTTTTTTTTTTTAATTTATCATCGTTAGAGACGGGAGAATAAAACATTGCGTAGGATATTAAGTTAAGATATAACTGAATAGGTCTTTCGAAATTAACATAACGTTTCCTAGACTATTTTACAGCCATAAGCCTCATTAAATTAAACTCATTTTTACGAATTCTATCACGTTTAATTTTAATTAGTTATATATATTATATTAACTTCATTTAATGTGTAGTCTTCGCGTAAATATAAGAAACCATTATGTGAGCTATAACCTTCGTTTAAAAATTATACAAACTGAAAGTCAGTTGCAGGTAGTACGCCAGTACGTTCTAAGTTTGACGGCTCCGTGGCGCAGTGGCTTAGTAATCAGTTGTTGCGCTGGGGGCCGCGGGTTTGAATCCCGCACGGAACAAGTATTTGTATGGCCTACAAATAATTATTCCGGGTCTGGTTATGTTTGTCATCGTGTAATCTATGTTTGTAAACTGCCTCCACGATACAGGAGAAAATCCTAGTGTGAGGTTAACATTTTTTAAAAAAGTAAGAAGAAAGAAAGAAGTCTATGGTAGTTAGAATCTCTACATATTTTCTGTTCTCGAATTTTTCCTACGCCTGCATATTATAATGCTATGTTTACTCGTTTGGATTGTAGTTTAGATCAACACCAATATACTTTTAATTTTAGAACTGTCAACAACTTCTGTCTGCTTGTGTACCTTAAAGGTACAATAAAATAAAATAATACCATCACAAAACAACAAAGCAATGTGGGGCACTTGCTTGAACGAGTAATTAATAAATTAATTAGATCACTGAAGTCGAGTTCTTTGTTTTTAACCGACTTGAAAAAAGGAGGAGGTTTGCAATTGGGATGTTTATATATATTTTTTATGTATGCCCGAACATCGTAACTCCGTCAGATATAGATTATAGACGAATTTGCAAAATTATTTTTTGTTCGAAAAAGGTTTATTCCGAAATGGGGACCATTTAAATTAAGTAAAGATCCGATATTGAGTTTCGGAGACAGACAATAGAACTCTTCAATAAATGCCAGCAAATCAACAATGATTTTATAGGAATAAGATTTTCCTATAAGATCATTGTATTGACACGTAATCACACATCTGCGTATATGGGCGGATCAACTTTTTTACCCACACTTAGGTGTCCCTAGCAGTCATTTTTACTTACTGACTTATTCAAAAGTTTTTTATAGGTAAATGGTATTCTAAACACATAACAAATAATCAGGCATCATCAGAAAAATGCTAAAGGTGCTGAAAATTAACAATTTGTTTTGATTTTTAGGGTAACTCAGTATATCAAAAAGAGCTCCCATACAAAAAATCCTTGTCCCGAGACCATAGTCTCTCACGTGAATTCCAGATGAAATTATTTTTTTCTATAAAACCCTATCTTGAAATTAATTTTACAAAGAGATAAAACAATAAACTTTTCCATTATTAACCACTGATATTAAATAAACATAAAATGTTAGAACAAAAAAAACATTTAGGACTGTCCCTCAATAAATTCCTTTTGCACGTGTATGCTGAGTTACCTAAAAAAATTGCATTAAAAGAACGCCTAGATGGTATGTCTTGCCGTTGCTAACTTTATTAAAGTCGTATCGTATAACAACGGCGGGCAAAACTTTGATGAGTGCCGACAAGTCAGTCAGTCTGCCTCGAACGCTCGCAGGGAGTGTTCGTACCTTTTTGCGCCGTCAACTGAGTTACCAGATTTTCTCGTAAAATGTATGTAGTAACTTTTTAATAATAATATTACATAGTACTAACTGTGGTTATCGACCAAATCATATGTTACATATTTTTTTTATAGTTATAATAATATGTATTTTTCATCAAAGTACTTGAATTGTCTCCTCAGTTACCGGAATACTGAGTTACTTTGAAGGTAACTCCATAGACATTGTTGGTAACTTCAGAGACATTTGCGTGCTGTCAAACACGTTGTGGCGTCAAACTAAAATCAATACATATTTTTATAAATGATTCGTGTATTACTATTTTATTGTCAATATATACTTCTCCTATTTCACTAGCACATTGTTTTCAATGACAATTATCCTCACTTAAATGTTAAGTATAAATGCGAAAGTGAGTGTTTGTTGGTAACAACCTATTAACACAAAAACTACTGACAGATTTGGATGAAATTCGACTCACAGTATACTGTGACCTAGATAACGATATAAGATACTTTTATTTCGGTAAAAAATCGAAAGCAGAAGCTAGTTCTTATTAATTTGCATCTTTTATTTCTTATATTGTATTGAATAATTTCTTATAAACTGAAACTTAAAAACTGTACCTTCCTTAGACATGCAATGGCACGTTTAACAGCAGCAGAAAAACAGAAGCGATATCGAGAAAGGCTGAAACAAAACCCTGAAAAATATGAAGAAAGCAAAAGAAAACATAGAGAGCACTACCACAAAATAAAAAGATTAGCAAAAGATTTGTTACCGAAAGAAAGGAAACAAGCCAATTTGATTTGGAAACTAAGACAAATGGAATACAGGAAAAGAAGAAAGAATTTACAAAGTATTATAGATGTGACACCGCCAAGTTCT